ATCATCTCATTTTCATTATCAATATTACTCTTGAAGTAATCCCTGAATTGGTGTGAAGCTAGTTCAATCCATTTCCTAATGAAATATCTCTAAAGTTGGCTACTTTTGAGTGTGTGTTAGGAGTCTATTTAATACTTTAATAGTGATTATTATAGTATAAAATAGATAATAGCCCCAAATATATATAAAGAGTGTGTTTATCTCTTACATATTATTTGGTTTATCCTTTATACAAAAACCACAAAACATTTCCCTTCTTTTCTTCTATTTCTGATCCTGAACCCATAAATAATCGATTATCATTGCTTGATAATCGACTATTGAAGCCTTCTGATTCCTCTTCAAAAATCTGCAACATCACACAATCGATTATCTTGTAGTGTCAATTGACTAACTGGTTCCTCTGAACGTTTCCAGTTGAGCTACTCCCTAATAATCGATTATCATTGTTTGATAATCGACTATTGAAGCCTTCTGATTCTTCTTCAAAATCTGCAACATCACACAATCGATTGTCTTGTAGTGTCAATCGATTATCTGGTTCCTCTGAACAATTCCAGTTGAGCTAATCCCTATTAATCGATTTATCAATTGTGCTAATCGATTATTCCTTAGCTCTGAACCTTGAAGTGAATCTATTCCTGTTTATCTATCCTAAGTTTGGGTACAACATTTGGTATCAGAGCTTGTTGTTAACATCTCTAAAGGACCAAACACACGTTCCTCACCTTTTCCTAATCCTTTCTTGATCCCAAATACATCACACAAAGTCCACAAATCAGCCCAATCAAACACCATGTCAAATACCACTCAAAACATGACCCATGAAGAACTTGTAGCTTCAAATGTAGCCCTGCAAGCTCAAGTTGATTATCTAGCCAAGCAAATAGCCCAGCTCACTAAACAAAAGCTAGCTATGTTGCAATCCAGTGATGATGAAGAAGACGCTAGCTCCAGTGCCACCACAAGAACTAAAGCTCAAGATAAGTCCGGTTCTGATTTCAAAGTGGATATTCCCATTTTTGAAGGAAAGAATGACCCGGATGAGTTCCCAGAATGGCTGGAAACAGTAGAAAGAGTATTTGATTTCAAAGAAGTATCCGACGAGAAAAAGGTCAAGCTTGTAGCCTTGAAGTTTCGGAAATATGCATCTACCTGGTGGTCCAACATCAAAACCAAGAGGAGTCGAGATGAGAAACCCCCGGTTGATACCTGGCAAAAGATGAAGACTCTCTTGAAGAAGAAGTTCCTACCTACTGAGTAGGTACGTGAGAATTTTGCTAGGCTTCAAACGCTTAGATAAGGTTCAAAATCTGTTGAGGATTACACCAGAGAATTTGAAGAACTCTTGCTAAGGTGCAATCTGCAGGAGAATGAAGAACAAACCTTCGTAAGGTATCTTTTTGGCTTAAATACTCAAATAGCCAACACGGTTGAATTACAAGGTTTCAACACTTTTGAAGAGCTCACTAAATTAGCTCTTAAAGTGGAATCTCAAAT